TCATTGTCGACATATTTTCACTTGGTTATGACGGATGTAGTTTTTTCAGCCGCCATCTTGGATCCGCCATATTGAAATGTGATAGATTAATTTAAATATGAAGGTGGTGTTGTGACCCATCATTTTGAGTTACTTTTTTATGCTGAACTCAATGCTGCAATCCGTTTTTTATTTGCATCTTTGAATTTTGAAATATTGAAATTTTAAATAAGAGTATTTTAATATTTCATCAAGAAAGCTTGATAACCAAAAACGGATTGCGGCATTGAGTCCAGTATAAAAAAGTAGTTCAAAATGATGGGTCACAACACCACCTTCATATTTAAATTAATTGATCACATTTCAAAATAGCGGATCCAAGATGGCGGCTGAAAAAACTACATCCGTCATAACCAAGTGAAAATATGTCGACAATGAATGGTGGTGTATACTTATCTTTATCTAGCACTATTTTGAGATTATGGTCTTAGTTTGTTAATGCACAATGTTAAAATGAGCTAAAAATAAAGTTATAAAAAGTCCTAATAACTTTAGAACGGATCAAGATTTTTAAAAAATAATTGCGGCATTGTAATCAGCGTAAAATTTTAGTTTGAAATAATGGGTCACAACCCTACTTTTACATTTGGAAAAAAAAACTTTGTATCCAATATGGCGGATCCAAGATGGCGGCCAAAAATGTATACCCAGTCAAAATGAAGTACTTACTACTCAACAATGATCTGACGTGGTCCGGAGATGATATCTTAAGAAATGTAGAAAAAAGTAGGGGGGGAACTCATTAAAAATTTACCCTGTATAGTTATTTAGTTATTATATAATTTATAGTTATTTGTATAACTACATCTATAAGGGTACAACCGAAATTGCTGTAAAAATTACCTTTCAAAAGGTGTTGGAATAATGTGACTTCCCCCTCAAAAAACCATAAAATGACGGAAAATCGGATTTAAAACGGCTTGACTATTGATTAAAATTTAGTATTATATTGTATTTTTTACTCTAAACATAATGATACAACCCCAATTGCTAAACAAATTTCGGTTTGAAAGTTATTGCAGCTTTTATGATTCACCTCATTAAATATTACTCCCACCGCTTACTCATGATAAGACTGTTCACAAGCTAATGGAAGAAAGTACAATATGTGTCAGATGCCTGATACCATTTTTATTACGAAACTGAAATTCAGCCCCAAACCTGAAATTTAGATTTTTGAAATTTGGCATGACTTTAAATAACCACCATATTTTAATTAGTGAAGTAGAATTTGCCAAATTGTATACGAAATACTGTATCAAGAGAACGCCATTTAAACAGGAGCTATTTATTTAAGATCTATTTTAGGTGTTAATGTTTGTCTTGGCATAACAAACAAAAATACAAAGTGTACCCAAAGATTTTATGTACACCCTGTATATCAATTAACATATCGGGAAAGAAAATTTCTTCAGTTTTGATTTCTCCCATATGTGATGTGAACTTCGACTATGTGTTTCTTTACACTGGTCAAAAGATTAAATCTTATTTTAAATAAAATCTTAGTTTCAACATTTGCTGCTAATCTTTTCAGAAAACAGTGCATAGATCTGCCGACTATATAAAAACTATGCGTACCCACAAACATTTTAGTCGTTTGTCACCAAACAAAGAAACAAAATTAGTAAAGACAATTTGATACCACTTTTGTTATTGTTTTAAAATCCAATTTCTTTTTTTTTAAGAGGTTGGCGACCTCGTTTGACCCTGATTTTTCGTCTACATGGTCCTTTGGCTTATGCGTTATACGTATCGTCGGGGTAGGTTAGGTTACCAAATTTAAAATAATTAACAACAATGAAGCTTGGTCGATTCGTAGCGTAGCCGACTATGGGGGGTAGATTTCCGGGTCTAGAATTCCGTTGTCGGACTTGTCTTATTTGACCACGGGGGTAGATTTTAGGAAGTAGATTTCCGGGGTAACATTGCGTAATATTGCAAATTACTGTATAAGCAAACAATTACATGTTGGTTATAATATATTGGGGTAAATTTCCAGTCGCGGGCTGTTTGTCAACCGACTATAGGCCCCGCCATCGTGACGTCAAAATGACGTAGGCGTTTTTTCATGGGGGTAAATTTACGGAGGTAGAATTCCGCTACCCCACATAAAGATCGGTCTTTATTCCGTGGTCCGACTCCCTGCTGCGCTGTTCGTATCAGGTGTCCTCTCTACGCTCTACTACTACTTATACATGTAGCCGTCCGCTGCTCCGCTCACAACTTGACCACTAACCGACGGGATGAAGCTACTCTGACAGCAGAATTGCTTTAAAAATAACCGCTTACCATTCTTCCAAATCTATTTCCACGCTTTAACGTGCAACGGACAATCTGTCGGTGTGTTGTTGTGTCGACGACGGTAAAGATCTCTAGGAATATCATTTGTCTGGCCCAGCTGTTTTTACTTACAGCACTTTCGATCAAAACTGTTCTGACATATTTACAAACAACCAGACATTTCTCATTAGTCGATATGGGTCAGGATCTATGTTTTGGGGCCACAGATTGTTGGATAGGCATTTCATTTCTGTCATAAACATAATGCATATTAATTATTATGATCGAAGACAAAACAATATTTAACTTTTGTCTGTTGGATTAAAATTCCAATAAAGATCGCAGGGAAATATACCATAAATATTTTTGGAAGAAAATCCCGGCTCAAAAGTTCGGGTTAAATCGTTTCGTTTCAAAGCCGTTTGCACGAAAGGGCCTCCCTCCGACCCCTAAAATGAGATACCAGATTTGTAAGTTAATTGTCAAGACCGAACAAGAAATACCTTAACTATTGCCAATTAGCCCAATTAGATCATGAAATGTAAAGTAAAAATTTAACTTTTATTAAAAAGATTGATTTGATTAAAAACAATATCGTAATACTATTGTATATAAACTCGGTAGTATTTAGTTGTCCTTGTCCAGTTTAAAACACTATGACTTTTGAACATTAGTTTCTTAGTAATAAATTAAGAACCATTGGTTAGGATTTTTAATTCGATAAGAAATTATCGAAACTTGAATTATTCTAAATTATTATCCAACGGTTACCTTGGGGAATACAACGCCTAATTTGCGGGTATTTATTTAATTGATGTTATTCAAGGTGGTGTTTTATTTGTTTTATCTATCGAGTAGTTTCCTCTATACGTTTGGGTCAGAGGGTCATATAAACATACAACTTGGTTATATATATAGACAAGTGTGGAGCAATCTATTCCACAGCATAGACTGTACAATCCCGATTACCCGGGTCCTTTTTGGTTGGGTATTGGGTGAAAAAAACTGTCCTTAAATTCAAATTAAGCAATATTAAAACTACCATCCCCAAAGAATAACAACACAACATAACAATATGAAATAATAAGAAGCGATTGATCTATTATTTAACGAAGATATACGTGTTATTCTCATTAATAATATTTGTATTTACAACTTCAGTAATGCAATTTAAAATTATGATAAGTTATGCAACGTTCCACCCTTAAATGTATTATTTGGAGTAAATTATTGGATGCAAAAATTAATTATTGGAGTAAATTAATTGAAATTCAATCGATATTGGGCTTATTAACAGTCCCACGCCTACAAACTAGCGACCGAGTAACGTTACCCTAAAAAATACCTGTAAAATAACACTATCATTTAATAAGCATTCATCTGTCACTACTGTAATATTGCGGATAATGTACAAATTATACCCAACGTGCGTTTGCGTATTGTACACCCAAATCTACATTTGGACTAAATTTACTTAGTTTGTGTGTTGTTCAAATCACTAATCAACTATTGATTTTTTTTTTTAATTTAAATGCAACATTTGTATGATATTTTAAATAACTTCAGAGGTAGGTCCAACCAAAAATGGCGTTTTTAATTAATGTTATTCACTAATCACACTACTTTAGCTTATTTGTTTATCAAAATAGATTTAAGTGTTGGGTTTTATGAACATATTTACTTAGTATTAGGTAGCCGAAACATTCACTGGCTACGGAATTACAACATCAACCATTGAAAGCGGTTTTACGACGAAAGTGAAGCTAGTTCAGAATCGCTGAATACATCATTAATTTCTAGTATTGTACAGTTACTGTGAGAATTTGCTGAGATATACGTGAATTGGTTTGATAGACTTTATAAACCCCATGTATACCATCTTTCCGAAAGGTAAATTAAGAACTTTTTAAAACAATCAACATTTTTCATTAAAAATATTCCAACAATCTCACGAGGTACATGAAATGAAAATGGTGTATTGTGTTGAATGTCAATCTAGGAAAGTGTGAAAAAAATATATTATCAACACAAAGGTGGTGCAAAGATTTGAAATTTACAATGGGCCTATGTATCATTACGGATATTCAAAGGAGTTATTTCTATATATTTTGTTACAATCGATGGTGGAAATAGCTTTTGTGCATGAGCTGTACTTTTGTTAATTGAAAAAAAAATAATAATAAAATGAATATTGTGGAATAGTGAGACTCTGACGAAGGATCATAATAAAATACGTCCTCCAACGTTTTTTTCTTTATGTTAACTTTTTCTGTAAACATTTCAAATATGTTACAATGGCGATATATCTCTGCGTGACTGCTCGAAATCGATCACTACATTAACATGTTTTACCGTCTTGTAAACGTGTATAGTATAATATTATTGATGTCTTGAAATCAGTGGAAAACGAATTGTATCACTCTCATGATAACGGCAAAACGTGAAAAGCTAACCAAGAAGTCATTAATCCCGATAAAAGCTAGGTGGATCAACACTAGATTTTTTAAAACTAGACATAGACATATTTTATTCATGAATAAAGTACACGTACAGTGCACATCTCAATCGCCAAAGACAGTACATAGAGAATTCAAGGCTAGTGTCCTCACAGTAAGCATACAATATTAAAAATTAACAATCAGTAGTCGTATGATAATAAGCAAAAGCTCATCTTACCTTACCTAACAAATTCGGGATCCATCTATGAAGGTGGCTTCGGGAATTCTGTGAACCACCTGTGAATTATCATCCTTTTAGTCTGAAAGTAAATTACAATTTATAATTTAGTTTACTTTCTTTAATGTGTTATGTTTGAGTTTATTGCTATTGATTGCCATATATCTTTTATAATTTTGTTCTAGATAAATATTTTGGATGTTATGTTTGATAAATATGCTGTTTTTATTTATGAAGCTTAGGGTGTGAACACATGCTAAACGAAATCATTCAAAGCTTTAATTACAAGAGTACTGCTTTGGTAAGTAAGAGTTTCAGGATCGGAAATATTTGTTAGAGTGCATTGTATGTTTCTTATTTACATACTTAACCTTATGTGTTACCGTATTTACATATCCCTCATAGATTAAAAACCAATACTAAATAAACATGTTAGCTTTTTCCACCGTCAATCCTCAAAGTTTTTCCATGACTGTAGTTAGTTTCAAGGCTCAGTTGGTTGCCTCATCGACAAATCTTCCTTTTTATTTATTGAGCATTTAAACTTTACGTATATTGATGAAAGGTGTTCAACAGAGAAGCAATGGGACAACTCAAGCCTTGAAACTATAGTAATTGAAAACCGTAAATCTGTATGACGGTAAAAAGTAAGAAAATCTGTTTATTCTGTAGTAGGATTTGGATTCCTCGTTTTGTATTAATTTATTTGTGCGTTTCTATATTTGACTCGGTTTATATTGAATACTATAGCAACTGTATTAATCAAATACGCCCCAAACACGGTTATTTTTAACGATGCGAAAATACAATACAAAATCGGTTCTACACACTGTCATAATTTAGAACAAAAATAGGGCATGTTAGATTGAAGTATCTGATTGTTTAGAGGAATGAACCAAGGTGAAAGAGCAAAGTTTGAGAGGAGAGTTGAGTGATCGACGTTCCAAATAATCACAGATCATGTTGGGCAACTTGCCAACATTCTGCTCGGCAATCGAGCGCGGTAATTGAAACAACTTAAGACATCGAGTATTTATTATCGATCAATCAATCGACCGATTCTCAAGATATGACGTCTTTTGTACTAGGATTTTAACTAGTGGAATGTAGGAGTGAGAAGAGATTACCTGAGTAGCATTGCTAAACTAAGATCGGCGACATTTTCTAGCCAGCAATGATTAAAATCTCAATGATCTTTGAGCCGGTCCCAATTTTAAACCATAAAAAAACTAATGACTTTTTTCTCAATTACACCGGAAATCTACTGGTTATTATGAGAGTGAGGTTTCTGTACTTTTATAGTGATCGTAGTAACTATAAAATCCCAGCTCCAGAATTGTATTTTAACTGCCCCCAGGAGAGAGGCAACGTAACATCTGTCAATTGTAATCATAGTCGTGACAATTTGTCTGGGAAATCAAAATTGTTAGGTACTTCGTGAAATTACAACCTCAACAAAAATTCCATGCATTAAATTGAAAAATAAATATACAGTTGGGTATGAAAGTAGGTAACACGTCAGATGCACGATTCCTCGATACCACGGTATCGAATTTTCGCAATTGTCCCTGACGGATTTAATTATTTTTAAGGTATCAAGTTTTTGGTATATACTTGAATAATGCTACCAACCATATGAGATCTGAAAATCAGTAGTCTTGCGCAAGAGGTGCGAGGTGGGCCCTTATATTTCCGCGAATTTCTAGTTGTTCTGCCCGTGCCACGGGGAGAGAACGCAGAGAAGATGGTGGTTCTACACCACCTTGTCCAATGCAAACTGCTGATTATTAGGCGCTTGTTCTTGATCTAAATTAATAGTTTTATGATTGTCCATGTCACAAGGTAAATTACTCTGCAGATGCGTTTTTTACAAGCTGGAACATACGAGGCTCCTCCAAACTCTATGGTCCTCGTTCCACAAAATGTGTCTCCAACATTGTGTTTTTAAAATATACCGGGTGTTTCATAACTCAATTTACACTTTTCTGTTTTGGGGATGATTAAAAATAAAGTTTTTGCCGAACCTAGGTGTTCTTCTGCAGTTGAGAGCAGCAATCGCAAAGGAGTTTGAAGCCTTAAAAAGCAATAAAAATCTATGCAAAAAGATTGTTACAAGTGTAACAAAGCTGTGAAAAATGCATTGAAGTTATTGGAAAGCATGTTGAACAATTCTTTTAAGTTTACAACCTATGTTTAGTTTTTTAGTTCAGTTTCAATAAAATAATAATATATAAAAAAGATTTATTATTTACAGTACTTCAAACAAATACGCTTACTCGGTACACACTGATTTTTTAAACACTTGGTATAACGGAACTAATAAGTAAACCATTGAAACAGAATTCAAAGGCTTAAACACCATCCCACATTATAAGAAAAACGTACTGTCACTTCTCTTGATGCAATATAGAAATATATTTAAAAATCAAAATGGTTTGTTTGTTTACTTTTCCTTGACTTAACCATTTTGATTTAAATATTTTTTTACATTTTTATATCTTTATTATTATAAAGTGACAAATAAATATCCAACAGCTGGAGGTTAGGAGAGGATTAATCGAAAAACTGATATTTTTCGGGGAAGTTTCGTATCAAGGCCTTTCATTCAACTCGGGGGAGTTAAATTTTATACTGTTTCAGATTGTTTGTAGGAAAACACAGATATAAACCACGAATGTGATTTATATGAATTGAATTTATACGTGTACAATAACATGGATACTTGTTTGCGATGTGTGAAGCCCAGTTATTTTTATGTTGGTGTTAAACAACCTATTCTGAATTCTGACTGCTGTTTACATCGTCGTTAAATATCGGTCGCGGTTTTAAACAGAAAGGTCAAATTACATTCTGAACAGATTGTTATTTTCCCAATAATTCTTAAAATAAATGAGCATTGCTTGAGTTAAGATGAATATTAAATAGGTCTCATAGTTTATTTGAGTAATTAAATCGTTTAAGTAGAATATTCGTCAAACACTATTCGTCAAAAATCAAAATTATAGTTTCATAACAAAATGTTATGAAATAAAATTCCTGAAACATTAATATGTGAAACTGCAGGTGTAATTGGTCCACAGATTATTACAGTACATTGTAAAGTAGTATTGACTACGTATTTTAATTGTTGTTGGCAACAACTTTAAACAATTAATTTTGACATAAAATGAGGTTACTAACCTGTCGTCAATCAGTCCTCTATTGTCTTGGATGACTAGTTTCGGGGTTAAAACCCCATTTTCAAATCTCTTCAGTCGTCAAATGTCAAACATATTCAAACAGGCACTCTGGTTTTGTCCTTGGCCGGCCTCACGCGCATGTACATGATTTGTAAATATAAATGTTTTCGTGTGTGTTTATGTGTATGTGTGAAGTAATTTTGACGACGGCTTATGCAAGAAAATATGTTTGACATTTGACGACTGAAGAGATTTGAAAATGGGGTTTTAACCCCGAAACTAGTCATCCAAGACAATAGAGGACTGATTGACGACAGGTTAGTAACCTCATTTTATGTCAATAGATCAATCCTGGAGGCAAATTATGTATAAATTAATTTTGGCCTATGATTAGCCAATTATAATCCCACATCGCCAATATCAGTAATAACCACCAATACTCAGATTTCACAAAATAAGAACTGCATCCTTCGAGTAAATTGGCTATGTAAATGATTCAATGTTTTTGCTATGTTTTCCATCGTGTAACTTAAATCTGATTTAGCCGTCTTCATGTTCCAGAACAGCCCAAAGATAGCTAATTAGAATATTCTAAAATTAATTTTGACTAGCATAGTAGTGTTTAACAACCTACATTTCTCAAAAAACTCTGTATCTTCAACAACCGAAGATATCACAATGAAAAATGATTTTAAAAATATTCACATATTGAAGCGCTTTTGTCAAAGAGAACTTATCGCGAAAATCAACCCCCGGAGAAATGTTCCTAATCCAATAAACCTGTTGAAATGGACACTCGTCAAAACAATTTGTAGATATTGTACCACATTTTAGTTTGACGGGTTTAAAATAGCGCGAACGTGTCAAAGGCCCCATAATGTGACGTATTTACACTCCATTTACTAGCTTACACACGACTCGCCGTTTCTGCCGCTTCTCCAACGGCAATATTTGTTCGTGTACGATGGATTTCAGTGAAAGACATGGACCATCTGGAGTTGTTAACATCAAAGCAGCGGCTCGAGCTGCGAGAGTGGATGTCGACAACCTAGCGCGCGTCGTTAAGGGAAGCATCGGAATCGTAACGATTGTTGGGTTGTTTGTTAAGAAGGCTAAACAGTTCTAAAAGAGGTATTGTGTTCTTTATTGCATACAGGAAGAATTTTATAACTGAATGCTAGAACACCTTGTGGTTTACAATTCACGGGTTACACACTCTGTATAACATTCACACATAGCATACTTTCTGTGATCATATTTGGCGATGGTAAGTTAATGTTAATTGAGGGAATATTGCGGACATTTCCATTAGTATAAACCAGTATCCACAACGTTTCTGGATCTAGAATCTAATCCCACCCGTAGGTGAGAAAATACCTCATTTAGTCTCGCTTGAGTCACCATATTTTACAAACGTGTCCATAATGTGAATGTTTAGTTGTTTGCCATTGAAGTAATATTATTTCTTTACTGGACAATTTATGCCTTTCTTGACTATACTATACTCTGTGAGGTGTGACTCTTGTGATTGTCTTGCTTTGGTTGGGTTTGTGTTATTATCTTATTACGTTTAAGGTACTTTGTCACCTGAAGATCCCCAGAATCAAATACAAGATCACGAAACGTTGCAAACACTTAGTGTAAGTGAATTTCCCATATAGGGGATAAGCTATTACCGTACGTCTCATGGTAAAACCTGGACCCAAGACTGATTTACTTTTTCGTTTTGATGTCCCCAGAAGCAAAAATCCCAATCCGTTCAAAATGTTAGTACAATAACTGGAGCAAAAATGATCCAATTTTGATGAAATTCATTACAAACGTGTAAGCCTAAATTTATTTGAACGAGTTCACGCACCAGCATGATTAGACCGTGGGGTCGGGGTTTTATATGGTAAAAATTGGCATTTCTCATTTTTTACCCTTAAAACAACATTTTCCAATTTCTCTCTAAACAATTCTGTAGAGCTTAAAAATAAATACCTAATATATTGAAATGTGTTTTTTTTTACTATTATTGATTACGAAGAAATTTAAAAACATTGTAAATTTAAAACTCCCATGTTATTCTTATAGGAAATAAGTAAACTGTTGCAGTTTGCTTGTTTGTTGGTATATTTTGATCAAACTTGGCAAATTTTTTACACTAAGCTAATTAATATTTTACAAAAAACACTCTTTATTACCCTCTTTGCAGCAGCAAGCCTAACTACTCGTTAAACCTGGTGTTATTTAAAAACTGTAGATTTAACTGAAAATCAAATCAGGCAAATGGAAATTCGCTTAGTGTGCAGGTTTGCTGCGGCGGGGATATTTACTATGTGTGACAGGAAATGTCCGTTATGAACCTTAAGATAGTATGTCCCACGAGATCGATTACGACATGGGTGTTTTGCCTGTTTTATGTCTTTGGCAAGTTTGATACATTTCTCCTGGTGAACTGGTCAGCCCAGTGCATTCCGTCAGAAGACACAGAATTAATTGTTACTATTGCCTTGCCAGATGACGATTTTAGGGTTCTAAAAAAAATACCTCCGCCGCAGCAAACCTGCAGACCAAGCGAATTTCCATTTACCTGGCTGGATGTCTACTAAAATATTCCCTTAAAATTGTCAGATTTATTTCCTACTTAAATATTATTCATTTTAATAAGTACTTAGGTTTGCTGCTACAGGGAAGGTATTGAGGTATTTTTTATTGAAATGTAGCTTAGTATTAAATAAACAAAATTGTCAAATTTGATTAAAATACGAGTATATCCATAAACAAGCAAACTGCAACAGTTTTTTATTCTCCATAAGAATAACGTGGGAATTTAAAATATTTTTTTTTTATTATCTCTATAATTGTTAGAAATACAACAACGCTTCAATATACAAAATAATTTATTTTTTTAAGCTATACAAAATGGTTTGGAAATAAATTGCGAAATTTGTGTTTTTAGTGTCAAAAATGAGAAAATCCAATTTTTACCCCATAAACCCCCGTTTCATTAGTCCGATCATGATGGTTCGCAAACTCTCGTTCGAATAAACGTAGGTTTACACGTTTGTACCAAATTTCATCAAAATCGGATCATCTTTGCTCGAGTTATCACTTATAGATATGAATTTGACCGGGGGTTGTTTTTGGCCTCTGGGGACCTCAAAACGAAAAAGTAATTCGGTCCTGGGTCTAGGTCTTACCACGAGATCTACGTTAATAGCTTATTCTCTATGGAAAATTCGCTAAAGGTGTGCTGGAATGCAAACGGGGAAATCAAGCTAGTTTTTCCCTACTGAACACTTGACCCAAAACAGCAAAAGTTTCAATAATATTACAGAATTAAGTGCGTAAATCCCTCAAAACGTGCGTTCTACGCAGTTGAGTTGGTTTAGGTAACGAGTCGCGTTAAAGATGCATCACCAAATCATCCTCAGAATGGTAAATAATATACATTTTCGCACTCAATGGAAATGAATATTGAAATGAAATTAAATATCATTTATTTATTTATTTCATTTCAATGGACGATGGCTTTAGAGATTCACGTGTACTGTTTGTAGTCTCACGCCTTGAACTGTGTCGTCTGTGTGAAAACATTACGTTTGCATGTTGTGTGACATTTTTAAGTCGCTCACGTTACCTATGATTTGAACATACATACATCCACTTGTTAAAACGAAACATGTGTTAAAGATGAAAAGTATTTTAATCTGTTTATCTAGTGTAAAGTATTTCTATTCAACATCAAAGGGGCCACTCGATGAAGAAAATTACCATTGCCAACAATCCATTGTTGAAATTCAAATATAACGATTGTTGTTGTTTGGGCTGTAGGACAAAACAATTTTCCATCACTTCGCAAAAAACTGCAAATAACACTAATTCCCAGATTTGTTTTATTAATTATTAATTAATTTTAATTCAAAGAGTGCAGGGGCGAGTGCTAGTTGCCTAAAAACTTATGACGAGGGTCATTTTACAGCCTGAGGCTTGGCGGTGCGAGTGCCAGCCAGGTATCAGTGACCGGTTCCACGGTGTGGCGGGTATATATATGGGGGTGGGAAGGGCAACTAAAGATGTGATCGTTGGGTCAACCAAGGGGGGGCAGGATGAAAAAAACCTGTTTGAGGGATGAAATGAAACTGTTATATGCCTAACCTAAACCAACCCAACCAAAATTGCTGATTATGAAAAAAATCTAATGAGGGCTTAATAATCAAATCGATATTTTCAATCTATATTAGGGCAGCCCAGAAACTGTACTCGGTCTCCATTACATCCTGCCCAACAACACCCTCTTCCACTACTACCCCTCCCCTGAACCACTCTTACGCTTTAATTGGCACTCGGGCCTATATCTGACGGTTTTGACAGTTTACCCCCAACGGCCAAAATAGGCTGGCACTCGCTCCGCTTCCCTAATTCAAATAACTTCAAAGTAAAACAAATATTTCAGGTTAATCCAAGTCTGGTTAGCAACAAATAACACAGGGTAACTACAAATAGCGGAAAACAAACAAATATAGGCTTTGAGTACTGAGGTTTGGTGTTACACGGAGTACACGGAAAAGTTGTTATGGCAAAATACATCAATAAACAAGTTGCAGCAGTTAAATTGTTTTTGAAATATTAACATTGAAAGCAACCTTTGTGTGATCTGCACTTGTTAGTAGGCAGGATAAATCAAGTTCAAAGATTTCTTAGAAACGTGAATCGTAGGGGACATGAAACTTAAAAAATGCAGTGGTCCTAGGCCTACTGATGTAGAGGGCCTCACAGTTTCGCGGGGACTACGCGATGATTCGCTAAAATGGAACAATCTCCCATTTAATACTGTATACTGAAAATGGCCCACGTAGAATAAATGGAAAAAGATTATCCTTATTTACCGTAATTAAAAATCTGATTTGACTAAAAAGTTAAAACTGGTAAACTAATTTGCTAATTCAATGTTCTTATTTTGCAAAATTATAGCTTATTTCTTGATACAATTGTTAACAAAATCGTGTTAGTGACACTTTAGGATTGATGAATAATTAATTATGTAGTTAACAGAAACACTTAAATTAAAATGTAAAATCACTGTAAAGGTTGTACACTCCAGTATTACTTTTATGTTATAAGATTATCTATTATTGTTAGGTTCAAAAATTATCGTGGAATGCAATCTCAACACCCAGAAAAATCTAAAATAAGGATATACTGTAAACATGTCCATAATGCTAAAAAGAAGTCGGTTAGAGTTATTTTTGCACACAAATGAAATACTCACTTTTGTTGGAACTGTTCCGCCTGGAGGACGGCGTGTAAGACATGAGGGACGAGCGTCGGGGAGGCGGCATGTCGGCGTCGGGAGAGCGGCACTGACTACCTCGGCGTCTCGGCGCGGCGTCAAACACACACACACACACACACACACATACGCGCGCGCGCACTTTACTGTACTTTAACTGTACAAGGGCTGACAACAATAAACCTGCAGAACAAAAATGAGAGAACTTTTTTTTCCTAAAAGATGATTTCATATATTTCTGTTTACACATTGTATGGAAGTCACTGCTTTTCCCCAAATAGAAATTGCTACAAAATTAAGACTCTAAAATATGTTTTTAGGGATTATTGCAGACATGTTTTTTTATCACATTGAGTAAAAAAATCATGATCTATATGTTTTCTGAATCTATAATGTTAGAAAGTGCCTAAAACATAAATTAGGATTAGAAAAAGGAAAATGAATCCTGAGCGAAAAAAAAAAAAAAAACTATCAGCACCAAAAGAGGTTAAATGAACACCAGTGCACTTCTTTACAAGAAGGTAGCTGAAGGTTACTGGTTAGTGACATATACTTACCATAAGCAAAAATTAACTTCAGACTGAAAACAAACGACTAACAAATAGTTACTAAAACTGAAATTTGCATAGCACATGCATATTAAAACCATCTTTAAATCTACCAATATCTTCTAAAAAATATAATGAAAATGACCTTTCGAACTTTGATTCAAAATAGGACAGTAGGGTCTATAAAAGAAAATTAGCCTGAGCCAAGTAAAATAAAGGAAAAAAAAACAATTTTTGGTTGGAGCTACTAAGGTCTACCCAGACAAATTTGAGCATAACTATGGAACCATCAAGCAGACATAATATTAGGTCAACAGACACAGAAAAGGAGAGAGTCCTTATTGAAAAAGAAATGAGATTTTTATTTGAAAAAATTAAGAAATATTCGTATGAAGGAAAAAATCAGAAAGACTGCAAAAGAAACCGTACATTTCAAACCGACTAAGGACTTAGGTTTGCTACTTTAAGCTAGGACCTAAAGTGTTGTTTGAATAGCAGATTTAATTTTTAATATGTGTTCATATTCTATCTCATCCCGATCCCACTGTAACATCCAGGGCCAAAATGCATCCACATTGATGGAAAGTGCTATAACTTATTCTCACAACGTTTTCAGTCACCAATTACAAGCCAAACAAGGAAATTGTGACCACAATCAAACGCTATTCTTGTTTGATATTATAAATATTGTTTTCAGCCATTTTAAAGCAAACTAAATAAACATTGGACTTAAGACACTAACGTTCCTTTGTAACAATACAAAGAGAAGTGAACAAAAGTTGAAAGGCATTAAGAATAAGTTATACTTGTAAATCATGTTTAGTGTATGAGCTCATAGTTTTAAGTAACCAGACATATATTATTCGTCCACAAAAGTTGGGGTCTGTAGAAAAACGTGTACAAAGCACCTCCACGAAGATATCATAGTACATAAATCTTTTGAAATTCTAACGTTACCTTCGATATATATTATTGAAATTCTATTATATTATAAGTTTAAATCAACAACAATAGTAACCAGTGCAAATATTCATAATTATAATACCAGGCAAAGACACCTCATAGACAAACCTCTCATAGATTGGAATTAGCTGCATCATTACCTCAACATCTCGAGCCAAAACTATTTAACAAATTACCAGCCAATCTACAATCCTTAACGTCAGAAGGGAAATTAAAAATTAAGTTACAAGAATACCTTTTAGAACGTGCATGTTACTCTGTTGCTGAATTTTTTTAACAGCCCAATTGATAAAAAAAAGGTTAAGCTACCTGATCTGTATTTATTACTTTTATGTGTTATCAGTGTTATAGTACCAGCTTTGTACTCTATTAGCATTATTAATTTTTTATATTTAGAAGTATTTTAAGTAGACATTTATAATACAATGCATATTGTCTGACTATGATAACAGATTTTGATTTGATTTGATTTGACATTGTCATTGATCAGTATCTCAATTATGTTGCCCCACAGATAAGTGTTTTTATTTAATCAGATTTCTGATTATTTGAATTTTAGATTTAACCCTGACTGGAGGAATATTAATGGTTTTACAGCTGCTGAAATTCACGGGATGTTATTTATCGAATGATGTGTTTTGCTCAAAGCAAAAAATGTAACCTAAACTCACCCTTCAAATGGTGCTTAACGAACTATGACTTTGGAGGCAGGAAGTCACGCCTATAATCTCCCAGCAATATCAGCTGCCTTACTAATGTTGAAATGTTCTATTGAGGGCCAATTTAGATGTATATGTTGACTAATAAACATTGAATAAATGATTTAGGAGATATAATTTGGTGCATCACTGATATACTGGTTAGAGCAAGGGACTTAAATTTCTACCTATCACCGATATCCATTGGTTATGAAATATCATAGCATGGGGGTTCTGAGCCTGTCTTAACCTGTGGGGAAAAAAGGTATTTAAAGTGACGCTAACTTTCTCTTTAGAGATTTTCTTTTCAATACAATGTTATGAGACGATTTAAATACAGTAAAAATATTTAATATTTAGTGATTGTGCTACACTGATATCATTTTGCAAACATGTATAAAATAATTTCCCTCAATTTATTACCTACTCCACTGTGACGTAGCAACTATAGAGTTTTGCAGAAGGTCCAACTTTTAGGAGTCAAGGATTTCATAAGCAAGGTTTTACATAAGGGCTCCAAAACAATCCTACTCCTACAGAAAACTCAACATGGGTTTTAAACTTTAAACTTTTAAAATTTATAATTTCGCTTACTTACAATTTTAAATTGAAAAGTTTATTGTACAAACATACAAAAAACTTGCTACAAACATAAAATGGAATTGATTTCCAAATGATCTGTGGCTGAGATTATACTTGTCCTCACACCGTTCTTCAATACTGCAACTGTTCAGAAACTAGAATTAGAATGTCTTTCAACTACAATATTTAAACCAATTTAAAAAAAAATTGAAATATAGTTTACAGTATAATAAATCTGAGGGTCTGAGCCTCCTAAGCCTTCCAAAATATGTTACTGTACTTTCTTACTTTTTTCAAAATTGGTTGATTTCATTGCATTTACATAATCAGTTTGAGCAGTTTGGTTGTTTCGAGTTCTATATTTTCATACCGGTATCTCATTTAAAGATCCCAATACCACCATAGTATGTTTTAAAACATAATGTGAAATAAAAACATTAGTTAATGTTCCCAATTTTTTGTGAAAACCCAAATTATTATTTACACATTTCAATGTTTAAGATTGACTCTGGCATGTTTATGAATACTGACTCTGTCATGTTTATGAATACTGACTCTGTCATGTTTATGAATACTATTGCGATGAGTAAATGTCAAATAATATATGTTGATCAGTAAATAACTTCAAATATGCATCTGTCTACGAGTGGATTGAAACCAAGGTTGTTGAGAATTGTCGAATGTCAGTAGATGATTAACAAGGTTATTTTTCAAATCAATTATTTCCCACACAATTCCACCCATGTATGGCCTATATTGGACTAGTGAAAGACTGGCATACAGTTAACAGTTAGGGATGAGGCACTAGAGTTCTACAGTAGCACTGCTAGGTCTTCACGCTATGTGATTATCAATATTTATATTTCCTTTCTAAGAAGCCATGAGTAGTCGAGTCAATAACTACACCAGTGCAACACGTGGTATAAATAATATAACGGCTAGCCTTATATCACTGTAAGAATAATATCACTAATACAATAGGGGAGGTTTAGACCTCCCTTCTCAACCTTTGGTTTGTACAGAAACCTGCTAAAACACAGGCATTGATTATGTTAGAATTCAGACTGAATACCAGATAAGAAATCCAAATCAGAAAAGCTGATTTGTTAAAGCCCGTATAGATTATTTAACTTTTTAAGAAAAAAATGGATTATGCGTGAGCTCAAAAGGTTTTCTTTATTCTCAACTGATTTCAAAGAAGAGATTTGTGACGGAATATCAAAACAACAATAAAATTGCCAAGTTGCACTGTCACTTAAGACACCTATCCTTGGAAGAAGCACAACGGCTGTCTGTAAATTAATTAATGCTAAAAGTCCCGTTGCGGCCAAGCAAGTTAGTTGAAATCTCCAACCTCTTCCATTACTATTCCAGCTCTTGCTCCTATTAGTCTAGTCATAGTAAGCAAAAACTTTGTAAAAGAAATCCGCTACCAGTTAATGGATGTGCATGTAGAAATGTACATAAGTGGCTTGGGGATTTTGCATGAGGCAGTACATATTTACACACTGAGGCCAGGAGCGGTCGTTCATGAGTTTCCATTGAGACTAAATTTAAGGAAACTTTGCTTATTGATTGTCACGTTTTAAGGCTACCAGGGTCCTTGGCAGTCTTGTAAAAACGCCCCCAGTAATCTCTTTAAACTAGTCACACTGTGATCCACATGCAAAATTTCCCTAACTTTGGTCATTGCCTCAAACAAGACTGATGAACCGCAGCAGTCAGCTTACACCGTTGGAAACATTGTAAACCCCCTTCAACCCTTATGCACATTTTCAACATTTAAACACTTAACTCAGATACAGTTTTTGTCACCAAGTTGAAAGTTAAGGTAAGTTATGTTCGTCATGTATCATATATGGACTTTGGGGATTCAAGGGGTGATCTGCAAATTTACCATTGCTCTTCAAACAAAAATTGCATTAACAGAATTTGCACAGGAAATGAGTAACACATGCTACACAATAGTTATTTGTGCAACTAGTGAGAAAAGTGAGCAATTGACTCACTCGAGAGAAATCCTTACTCACAAGCCGTAGGCGAGTGAGGAATGGTTTCTCGAGTGAGGCAATTGTACTTTGCACTCGAGTTGCACATTATATTTATCCTACAGTTACCATAAAACAAATAAATTGGTGAAGAAACGTAACATATTTTTACACAGAAGTGAATTTTTAATATAACATTTAATGTAAAGTTACAAATACAACAGTAAAACAGCTGACCAGCTGATTTACAGCCAGTGCTGCCAACGTATTTTGAAC